GGAATAAAGAAGCTACCTCAATTAGCTTGGCAACATTTCGGAGTCCACGAGCAAGGGTATCCATTCCACTAATGTGAGCAATAAACAAATCTTCAACATCGGTACTCTCTCTTCGCCTGTCGATAAGCACCGATGCAACAATGAACAAAAAAAACGTCATAGAGAGAGTAATCAAATTCAGAAAAGACAGAAACCAACTTACAATTTCGCATCAAAGTTGAATCCACCAGGTGCTAACCCTCCCTGTCCACAGAAGTAAACAATTATTAGATATTCATTCACGTCGTTGTTAGAGCCATTTACAGCGCTTACAAACTGAACAAAGATATATTACATACATTTTTCACTACACTGAGCATAACCATAGTAGCTTCACCAATGTCGGTTAGAAACTGATCGGTATCCCAACCTGTGACATAAAATAGCTAAAGTTAGTACTCTACCCTGCTATGCCCTTCGAATGTCTTGCCGTTCCAGTTGTTTCAGGTTCGATTCATACCAACTTGAGGGTCGCCAGTGTTCGCATCAATGTTTCCGAGAATCCCGTTAAGCCTTGCAGTTTCAAGTTCATGGTGGCAACTGACAGTGACATAAGAGAAAAAAAGTTCAGAAATCGCTTGCAGTTAGAAGATAATCAAGATCGAACGTTTCTAATGGATTTCCTACCTATGACCCGATAGGGTGGCATGATTGCATTCGATGTTAAGCTTAAAGTCATCTACAAAAGAGGGGAATAAAGATCAGAATAAAAAATGTAAGAACATCAAGATAAAAGTGATTAGATTATTACCAATAAGACCATATTTTCGCAGGAAATTAGCCGATGTAGCAGCATCCCAATCGTACCTGATAAAACAAAACCGTTCATAAGCATAGATGTTCACGAACCACAACCCAATACAGCGGTCGTTTAAAAGGGTTAACCAACATAATTAAAGAGATAGAAAAGAACGTAAAGAAACGCACTGATGTTTCGTAGGCTCTTGGGGCTTGGGTTCAATCAGCAATGTTCCTGCAGAGTTCATGAAAATAATTTAGCTCCTTAGTCAGATGTGAAATTTTGGCTTGATGAAATCTTTGGGAATCAATCATACCATTGAAACCAATCTTCTTCTTATAGGCGGCAGCGGCCTGAAGAAACCTGGCCTGCAAGACGATTATAAACGACCTTTATCACTCCAAACGGCAGACACAATCGTTAAGTAATAGCTGAAGACTTTGTTGTAACTCACCATATGGTCGAGCTCTCTCCCCATATCGGTGTTCAGAAGAGACTGATAACCCTCACGGCCGCCCCAGAAGACGTAGTTTTCTCCCCCCAAATGATGAGTGACCTGACAAAACGTATATCAGCTTTTTGAAACCGAACTAAGCATAGTAACTTATAATACATGTCTTCACACTCACCTCCATTGCTTTCTTGACTTGAGCAGCAGCATATGCATAAACACCAACTTCAGAGCTGCAGGAAAGTCGAAATGCTCAAACGCTGATACCGGGAACACCAGGCTATGGATAACAAAGGTCTAAACGTATTACCTCGTCGCAGCACCATGCATGTAACGAGGGTGCATGAATAGTTGTGCCGTACCCCACAAAGGTTTAATTTTGGTTCCCTGCATAGCCCCGGGAGATAATAAATAACAACAAAAGTATTCGGGTGTTGATTTGATTCATATCCTACTATTACAAGACATAATGGATACGAGTTATCAGAGAAATCAACTCGCATTTCACTATTACATAAGATGCCCTGCTGAAACACAAGGCATTTATCAAAGCGGCACCCAAACATATAACAAATACAATTACCTGAAGCTCTTTAGCAAGGGCCACGACCGCATCAAGGTTTGCATTAGTTTCCTATGGAAATCATACAAACAGAATAGAAACTTAGTTAGCAAATTTAACATTCACAAACACGCAAAAGGTCGAATACAAGAAACGAAGCAAAACCTCCAAAGTTAGTCCATCTGGGGCTATATCTCGGTCATGGAAGCACCAAAATTCAACCCCAAGTTTCTTAATGAACTCGAAATTAGCTCTCACTGCAAATCCAAGACATAAACTTAAATCAGTTATATCAACACGGCCATATTTACCAAACGCTACAGATCGAGGTTGTGGATTCATCTCTTACTCCTCCTCTTTGCCATAGCCACTGAATTGGTACCATCTTCCCATGGCCAATACTTGGTAGCAGCACCAAATGGGTCTCCCCCTGTCCCACGGAACGTATGCCAAAACGCAACACTGAACCTCATCCAATCCTATGGTCACAACATATCCTATCAGAAACAATTACAACACATGCTTTGAATCCCAAAGCACACTAAGAATAAAGAAACAACACCTTCATTTTCTTCCCAAGAATTTCCTCATTAGCATTATACCATTTAAATGCCAGTGGATTTTTGCTTGCAGGACCCTGTTATGTAACGAGAATACAAATAAGAAAACAACATTGTTCTCATTATCCCCAAGAACAATCCAAAATTATCTAACATTCTAGGAAGAATTCATTACAATTCAAAGAAAATTGATTCTATGTAAGAACACCAACAAACCTCATATACAATCTTGGAAATATCAGGGAAAAATTCCCCCTCCCAATCCCCAGAATGACTGCATTCGTTATTTACATCAGCAGGACATGTGGGAGGCTCAGCAATCTGCAAGAATCCCAAAACACATTCAAACAAGCATGAACAAAACCCCAGAAAAAACCCACAAAAGTGTAATCACATTCAATACAGATTCAACGAGAACGATGAAACAAGGAACAAAAAGAGAAGAAAATGCTCACCGCTCCAAGCAAGAACACATTCAAACACAGAAACAGAGCCAAAACTTCACGGGATTTCATTTTTTCACCCAATTTCTGCAACATTCACCACATAAACACCTCGATCAGAAACAAAAAAACAGACAACAAATCATCAACAATCGAATCCAAAATCAGTCAATTTCCCAGTGATCGCAAAAGAATCAGGAAAGGGAAATGGAGATAAATCCGAAATTAAAAGGCAACAGAAAGCAAAACCCATGATCAAAACTACAAAAATCAGAAGGGTAACAGTAAAAATTCATCGACCCAGACAAGAAAAACGAAGAATCAAACTCACAAGATCGAAATGACCCTCGAAGAACTACAAAATATCAGTCACTGACGGTGGGTTTCCAAGGCTCGAATATATAGTGGGAGCAATCCGAGGATAAAACTTGGAATTCCTTTTTTAGATAAAAGTTAAAGTCAGAATTCACAAAACCCGGATGGGATAGAGATCCAAATTTGACGCATATGGAAGAGGCTCTGTATCCCTGCAACGGATATAATGAACAAATTTCAGGGGTAGTTTCGTCTTTATACTTTGATTAATTAGTTGAGATTTCGTAGATAAATTGGAAGCATAAATCAAAATGAGTTATGCAAGGAAAGGATAAACTCACTGGTAGTTGACTGAAAGACAATTACGTGTTGTTTTATTATTGGGCTGTGATGTGGTGTTCCGTAACCATAGAAATTTATTAAAAAATAGCGTAGACTCACGTGCCAGATGGGATATTTAACTGTGGATAAGCACGCTGAGTCAGCTTTACGGATTAATAAAAACTGATTAAGAAATTTATAAATGTGAAAATTAATTTCTTATTCTGTCTGTATTTTCCTTTTGGACGGGCTTAAAGTTTTTATAACGTGTCTGCTAGAGAGATGTTTCACACCCTTATAAATATAATGTTTCATTCTCCTCCTCAACCGACGTGAGATATCACACGAAAGCTTATTTTACACAATGATTTTTCAGATAAAATTCAGGCAACGTCAATAAATTAGTTTTTTCACGTAGATGTAATTTGTCTGAAAAAACTAACTTGATTAGGATCGTTTTGAGAGGGTTTATGGAATCCAATTTTTTATGTGGGCAAAACACCAATAACAGAATGACTAACTCTATTAGGATTTTCTTAAAAGGGTTTGGACTGTGAGGTCACATATGTTGGATGATGAAAGTCCCACATCGGCTAATTTAGGGAATGATCATGGGTTTATAAGTGAGGAATACTAACTCCATTGGTATGAGGCCTTTTGGGAAGCCCAAAGCAAAGCCATGAGAGCTTATGCTCAAAGTGGACAATATCATACCATTGTGGAGAGTTGTGTTCATCTAACAACATACATGTGGCTACAAATTCTTTTTTTTACGCCTTTTTTAGTTTTAGTGCAATCTCAAAGTGCATTCGAACTAGAACGAATAAATTAAATTACAATAATTTTAAATTATTTTAATTTATTCGGATTCTTAAATTTGAAAATTTTATTATGATTAATTATTGTATTTGACAATAAAAATTAATCTTAAACTTTAATTCTATCTCTAATTTATTTTCTTAAATAAGAAAATAAATATTGAAATTAGAATTATACCTTTTAAAATACCTTATTTTTTAGGTATTAAAACACTTTTAATTTTATTAGTTTTACTAAGATAAAAAAATAAAATAAGAATGACCCGTGAAGCCTCTTAGGCTAAGATACTTTTCGACTCTTCAAGCTTTATCATTATTAGATCCATCTCATTTTTGGGCTCCTCATTCTTGGTTTCGTTCGGTGAGATCAAATTGGAGGTTATCAGTGTTAGATGAACACATCTCTCCACAATGATATGATATTGTCCACTTTGAACATAAACTCTCATGGTTTCCCAAAATGCCTCATACAAATGGGAAGAGTATTCCTTAATTATAAACCAACAATCAAGACCAATGTTGCGAGCTTCAGGAATACCATGGGATCTTCGTAAAGACTAAGAGATGAACTGTATCCATTATTATTATTATTCCGCTATTTTTAGGCTTAGTTTTTTTTTTTTTTTTGGTCTAATTTTGGAATAATGTCTCAATTGTATAACTATTTCCATAAAATAAAAAACCTTCCTTGTCTATAAAATTTCATCCTCCATTAAATCAAGAACAAATAAGAAAATAATTGAATAAAAAACAGAGCCCATCAATGGAAGAAGTGGCAAGAACCCATCAATGGCGTCATCAAGTACTGATTTTTGCTTTCCCTTTTGGCAGCCATCCGAGCTGCCTTCTCAGCCTCGTCCGGCGACTCGCCGACGAGGCTCCAGCTGTGAAATTCTCTTTCTTCAACACCAGCACTTCCAACGCCGCCATTTTCAACGACTGCCGTCGGAATCACAACGTTTTTCCTTACAGTGTCGGAGATGGCCTGCCGGAAGAGTACGTCAGAAAACAGGGAGTGCCGGCGGAACCCGCAGCGCTTTTTCTAAAGGCGGCTGCTGGGAACTTCAGGATGGCGGTTGCGTTCGCGGTGGAGACGGCGGCTGTGGAGGTTCGAGGAGTTGTGAGTGACGCGTTTTTGTGGTTCGCCGGTGAGATTGCGGCGGAGATGAAGGTTCCTTGGGTTCCGGTTTGGGTTCCCGGGCTACGGAGTCTGGTTGTTCATCTTCACACCGATTTGTTCCGGCGAAAACTGGCGGATACCGGTATTAAAAAATTTAATTTTTTTAATTTTTTATGTATTTTGAAAATAAAACATGAAAATCACAACATAAAAATTAATTTTGGAAATATTTTTGTTTAATTTTTTTAAAATAAAGAGAAATTAGTATTTATAGGCTTAATTTTTACATTTTCGGCATAAACGAGCCTTTGAGAATGAATGTTGACGTAAAATGGTGGTAGAATGATCGAGTTGGTTTGTCTACCTTTATTTTATCTAACATATCAGGCTTCCTGTTTGAACGGAAAAATGATTATTCATACAATTTGTTATCATTTGTAAATAATTTTCGATCAACATTTTATTTGGGTAACAGTAGATGATAAAGAGAAAGTCATCGATTTCCTTCCTAGGTTTGAAGCAATACGTAAAGTTGACTTACAAGAAGGCGTAGTGCACGGAGATTTAGAATCACCCTTTGCAAATATGTTACGTAAGATGGAGATTCATTTACCGAAAGCCTCCGCTGTCGTCATAAACAGTTTCAAAGAAGCCGAACCTGAGATGTTCGACATTCTAACACCAATGCTTCAAAAGCTACTCACGATTGCACCACTTAACATAACACCATCAACATCAATTATTGCCGACGAGCACGGCTGTCTCGAATGGTTAGACAAGCAAAAGCCAATGTCTGTGGCATACATATGCTTCGGTACTTTTTTAGCACTCCCCCCTAACGAGTTATCGGCACTGACCGAGGCGTTGGTCGAGAGTAGGGTTCATTTTCTATGGTCGTTTAGGGGCAACCCTAAGAAGAGCTTCTCTAAGGACTTCCTTGAAGTAGTTGATGTGCAAGGAAAATTAGTGCCATGGGCTCCCCAAACAAGAGTGTTGGCACATTCTTCAGTTAGGGTTTTTATAGCTCATTGTGGATGGAACTCTGTTTTGGAGGCTATAATGGCTGGTGTGCCTATGATATGTAGGCCCTTTGTTGGGGACAATGCCCTTAATGCAAGGACAATGGAGTTTCAATGGAAGGCTGGCTTAGGGCTTCAAGATGGAATATTCACAAAGGATGAAGTAATGAAAGCAATGAACTCGATCTTCGACCCTTATAAAGGGGCTGAAATAAGTCGGAATCTTAAAACGCTTAAAGATCTAGCTCTTGACGCTACTCGACCTGAAGGAAGTTCAACTAAAAACTTTAATTCATTGGTCGAGTTACTTACCAAGTAGCTAGTTATCTAACTTTCGTTTCAATTTTTTGTACTTTTGATTACTTTGTTTTAGTCTCGTAATGTTGTATCATGAAAACCTTATTTTAATCGAATAATATGATATGGATAATGTAACAATTTAACATATTTATGTCTGGGTCACTCTCATGCATAAAACGAGGCACTGCTTCGCTGTGTAATCAATTATATTTGGATTAAATTCTTTGTAATTGTTCAAAGAAAAGAGACAAAATAAAATTTTTAAAACACTTAAAGGCAAAGATTCTTCTTCACATGTCATTGTTAGATCAGGATCTTTTATATCTGATATCTAGATCACATTTATATGTGAAATGATTCACTGCTTTGTTGTGTGACCACGTCCATTGAATTAAGATGAATATCGTTTCTTTGGCCACGTCCATTGAACCGCTTTGTTGTGTGGCCAAATCTTCAAAAAAATGAAGTATGTTGAGGACAAAAGATAAAGACAAAGATTCTCTAATATAAGGTAGATAGTGATGTTTCACATCAATGGCCTAAATTAGAGGAAGATTGACTCTCCTTCGTACCCACCATTAGATTGTATTGTTTCGTTTGAGTATCGATAATCTAGATCACATCGATATATGGAAGGATGATGACTGCTTCGATATGTATGATAGAAATGAACACTTCACGATCCATACACACAATAAAAAAAAAATTACCAAATTTTTTAGTGAATAACCTAGTTTCTAAATTAATAACAATTTAGTCCTTAAACTTTAGTATATTTAATTACTTTATTTTAATATTAAATGGAGGGAAACTAAACATTTCTTATAAGGGTCGGTAAACTTCTCTCTAGTAGATGAGTTTAAAAACCATGAGACTGATAGCAATACGTAACGGACCAAAACAGACAATATTTGTTCGTAGTGGGCTTGGACGATTACAAATGGTATCAGAGTCAGGCACTGAACAATGTGCCCACGAGCACGTTGACCCCCAAGGGTTGAATTGTGAGATCTTTAGCTGTTACAAATAGTATCAAAGGCAGACACCGAGCAGTGTGCCAGTGAGAACGTTGGCTCCCAAGAGGTGGATTGTGAGATCCCACATCGGTTGGAGAGGAGAACGAAATATTCTTTATAAGGATGTGTAAACCTAAACTGTGAACCTGATAGTGATATGTAACGGGTCAAAACGAACAATATCTACTAACGGTGGACTTGAAATACACATGCATTAACATAATTATTCACACAATTTACAAAATTTAGTAATCTCAAACATAAACCAATCCCCTAAAGAGTGTGACCAAGAAGTTCAAAATCCTGAAGAATCCCATCTGATTGAAGAGCTGTAGTAGTCTCCCACAGGTTCGAAGCAGCTGCAGAATTTGTATCAAAATCATTACACCACCAAAACAAACTCTCTTGACAATCATTCATTTCCTTCTCTGCCGAGCTTGAACCGACCGGACTCTTCCCCGTGCACCCTTCCAGACTGCACTCACCATTGACAAGGCTCCCATCGGCCGACACCGGAGGCCAAAGCGTGGAGGTGCTGTCGAAAGAGAAGGCGGTTTGAAAGCCTTGAAGCTGCTTTTGAAGCTGGAGCCTTTCCATGGCGGAGCTTGTCACTGTCTGTGCAGTCTTTCTCGAGCTGACATGTTTGGGAGTTCCGAGCAGTTTCTTCTTCAATCTCGTGTTCCAGTAGTTCTTTATGTCGTTGTCTGTTCTTCCAGGTAACTGAGCTGCAATTATTGACCACCTAAAAGCAAATAAATGGAGATTTTTTTTAGCATTATCTTAGCAGCCTCTTAGATTCAACGATTGTTTATTAATTATTTCACATGGGTTTGTTAAAAGAATGCATTTTTATATTGAAACATGAGTCTCACGTTGACTAATTAAGGAAATAATCATGGGTTTAGATGGAAGGAATACATTTCTATTGGAATGAGGCCTTTTGGAGGAGCAAAAAACAAAACCACGAGAGTTTATGCTCAAAGTAGACAATATCATATCATTGTAAAGGTTCGTGATTCCTAACATGGTATTAGAGCCATGCCTTTAACTTATACATGTCAAAAGTGACTCGAGTGTCGAATAAATGATATACTTTGTTCGAGGGCTCCAAAAAAGGAGTCGAGCCTCGATTAAGGGGAGGTTGTTTGAGGGCTCTATAGGCTTTAGGGGAGGCTCTATGATGTACTTTGTTCGAGAGAAGAATTGTTGAGTTTATAAGTAAGGAATACATCTTCATTCAGATGAGGCCTTTTGGGGAAGCAGCCAAAAACAAAGTCACGAGAGCTTATGCCCAAAGTAAACAATATCATATCATTGTGGAGGTTCGTGATTCGTAGTAACAGAACTTTTAATTACCTGCTACCAATGCTTATGAAAAGTTTACAAATGATATCGTCTTCTTCTTCAGAGAATCCACCATGTTTGATATTCGGCCTCAAGTAATTGAGCCATCGAAGCCTACAACTCTTCCCGCACCTCTTCAACCCTGTAAATATTCAAACATTTTCAAAATCGAAAACCTTAAAAGGGGAAAGGGGAAAAATTTGGGACTTTTATTTTGGTTTGTAAGGGACCTATTTTGTTGGGAAGAGCAATCCAATTGCCACCAGTCCCATGGAGTTGGATATAAGCCTTGAGCTTCTCATCTTCTTCAGGCGACCATGGCCCTTTCTTTACGTTGTCTTTGTCACAGCATGGTGCTCGCCCCATCTCCTTCTCTTTCTCTCCAATCTTAAGTGAATGTTTTTGGGAAGACCCTTTAATTTATAGCTTACAAATCGCCCAACAAAACTCTCTTTCTATCCCTTTTTTTAAATTATAAATAGCTAAGAACGATACGTCTCCAAGGTATGCTTACAAAACCTAGCTCATATCGTGCCTCTCACAAAACGTTAGTAAACTTAGGCAACTAAGTGTTATAATTTCAGGCCCAGAATTTAGATTAGGATTTGAAATCTGAATTCAGCACCTGATGGTCCCGATATTCCCTTGTGACATGGTCACGTTACTTATTTCTTGTAACATGGTCACGATATTCCCACAGACCAAGATAGATTATTTCAGCATGTTTTGTCCTCACTCACATGAATCTTAGGAAAAATTCTCAAGAGCTCACCCAATATAGAATTGTCCAAAACAAAGTAAGTATCTTTGGAGTTTCGATGCTTGAGCCACTGAAAATGGAGGTGTATTTTGTTGATATAAGTACTAACTTTAATTTCTTTTAAGTTTTCTTTAGTTGTTCTATTCTCAGTGTGAGATTTCACATTAATTAGAGAGAGGAACGAATGCCAGCGAGGACGTTGGGCCTTGATAGGGGTGGATTGCAAGATCCCACATCGGTTGGAGAGGGGAACGAATCTCAGCGAGGATGCTAGGCTCCGAAAGAGGGTAGATTGTGAGATCCCATATCAATTGGAGAGGGAAATGAATGCCAGCGAAGACGCTGGCCCTGATGGGGGGTGGATTGTGAGATCCCACGTTGATTGGAGAGGAGGATGAAACATTCGTTACAAGGGTGTGAAAAACTATCTCTAGCATATGCATTTTAAAAATCTTGAGGGGAACCTTGAAAGGGAAAGCTCACAGAGCACAATATTTGTTAGCAATGAGCTTAGGCCGTTACACTCAAGATCACTCTCATTCACATGTGATTTTCGGTTCATTCATCTATCCCTTCTTTACTCGGGTGTCGTATGTGCGGTTGGATTATCTTTAAATGCATGCAACTCGACAAAGTACAACACAAAATTTTCTCAATCCTTTTTTTTTTTTCATATTAAATTGAATTGCCTTTTGGGTTTTATAATTAGTTTATTGTGATTGGAATTATTGCCCAAATTATTTCAAAATAATTAAAGAGAATCAATCTCTTCCTTATTGTCTCTATTATGCCTTTAATGTATTCCCATGCCAACCATAATCCCTTTAACTTTATGTTCTATTTTGATCTGGCTTTCTATATTTATTTCAAAGTATTATTAGATCTCTAAGAATTTAAACATTAAAGTATTTTACGTATCGAAAAAATCGAGCATACCGGACTTTGTTTATTTTAATTTGTCGATTTTTCATCATAATTCTACGTAAACACTTGAATATATAGATATAATTGTGTTTATTTTGTAGGATTAGTTATCCATACGAAAATGTAATTAAATTTTTAAGCGTTCTATGAATACCAATGTGGAACGTTCAACATCAACGTTGAAGATTAATTGATATTTTCAACGTCTTTTATAAATACCGAACAAAACAAAATATGCCCTGTGATGTCCCACATTGGTTGGGGAGGAGAACAATTCACTCTTTTAAAGGGTGTGAAAACCTCTCCTTAATAGACGCGTTTTAAATTCATAAGGCTGATAGGTAATGGGCCAAAGTGGACAATATTGACTAGCGGTGGCCTAAGGCTGTTGCACTATAATTGAGCCACTAGAAATGATGGTGATTCTTATTAGAATAGGCAGAGATATCACTTTCATTTGAACGAGATATCAGTTTACAACTCATTTACTAATTAAATTAGATCCAAACCCTATGAAATTTATTTAAACCAACCATTTTTTTTCCAACCCATTCCTGGGTTGTCGAGTCAAACTTAGGCACGAATCAGACTACTCGGAACGTGTAATTCTACTCGTTGTCTGATGCGCGATCCTCTCTCCTTATGACATGTGTCTATTTCTCATCTGAATGCACAGACTGCATGTTTGCGCAACGCGTATTCTTCAATTTTTGCAGAAATCGATGAATTTTTCGATTCAACATATTTTCTTCACATTTTCATACAAAACTCGAATCAATTTGGTTTCTTCACATAAATTGTAGAGTTTGAATCCATCTACTCGTAATTTATTATCAACTATAGCTGAAATAATCGAGTCAAAAGTTCTTCCAAAACTAAAAACTTACCATCCTTGTAGTTTCTTGACGATCACTGAAACATCGTTTTCTGATCCGAATCAAGTCCATTTTCTGAAATCTCTCCAATATGAGCCTACTAAAAATTCATAACTTAGTTCCAAGAAAAACTGAAATCAAGAACTTAGAAC